TTGTCTTGCCTCAGCCTTTCAAGTTCTGGGATTATAAGTATGTGCCACCACACCCAGTGAGGTAACAGATTTCTAAAAGGATTTTTTTTTTTTTTTAAAGAAAGGAATGGCTAGAAATATCAGAAGTAACTGTGGACTTATTTATTTATCCTTTGTTTCGGCAAACATTTCATTTAAATCAATACTGAGGCATTTAGAGAGAAGGAGATAAAAGCCAGCCTTTGCTCAGCAGCACTACCAGTGTAATGAGAGACAGAATAAAACGGACTTACAGTACTTTGGTAACAGTGGATATACTCAAGAGGAAAAGTTATATGTGATGAAAATGGACATGAGCAGAGCTAAGAAAGAACTTCTATCTGAGCACAAAATATAATATAAATTTAAAACTGTTCCTTACAAAATGCCTTGCTACAAAGCTGATATGGTTGCATTTTTTTAACCAGAACTGAAAAGATTGTTTTGAATACTAAGATTAGGACCATACCAAATTAATTTTTGGGAAGTATTTTCTAAGTATTGTAGAAAGGGGGCATTGTCTAGATTTTGAGCTTTCAGTGGCAAGTCTACAGTTTTGGGAGATATCAATACTTGCCCCATGAACCAATGGTAGGTTTAAACTTTTTAAAAAATTATTTTAAATTAAAATTTAAAATTATTTTAATACTGGTTTATTTGATATTTTTTCCTCTTCAAACACTATTGCAGTAAGACAGCTTTGGGCCTTTTCATGCTTGGGAATGGTATCCTTTATCACCTCTTAATCATCCAAAGGACAGGAACATAAAAATACAGGGAGGACCTAGGAAAGAAACCTTAACTAAGGCCTACTTGAAGTCAGAACAAAAAAAAGATGCCTTAAACACTGACTCTAAAAGACGGAGATAAGTGTTTTCATTAAGGTAAGGGCAGACTCATCAAAATATCTGCAGCTTAAGCAGTAAAACTTTTAGGTCACTGAGTCTTTTTTATTTTTCTCTTGATTTATAAAAATAATACCTGTTCTTGGTTTAAAAAAGTAACTAGGAAAATACAAATATGGAACCATGAATCAAAGCATCTAGTGGCCTTTAGTACCTGAGTGTTCCAGTTACCTTCAAAACAGCATGTCTCTAATGGAACCTACATCTTTCTATATCCTTCTCTTCCTCCATCACTGCCCACTTAGCAAATAAAATCAGTTTATGCAGTTACTTCAGCTTAGATTCCCCAACATATATTTGATCCTTCCCTATATTCCTTACCCTCATTGAATCAATATGAGAACCTGAGACTTTAGTTCAAGATCATTATGTGTGTTTTTACAACTTGTATTTCCTTTTTCTAGAATCATTTGACATTAGCAAAATCTTCAGAGTAGCCATAGTAACAATAGTTTATTAATTTTGGCTTGCTTCCTCAGGTAAATCTTATTTTTTCTATTATGTTATAATACTATTTGTATGGCATACTTTTGTTTTTCTTATAAAAGATCTGTTATAGGCCTGGGGATTTAGCTCAGTGGTTCCGGCACCGGCCTCATAAGCACAAGGACCTGAGTTCGATCCCCGGCACCAATAAATAAATAAATAAATAAATATTTAAAAAATAAAAATAAATAAAATAAACAGGTCCTCACTCAACCACCTTGCACTTTGGTGCAAATTTGCTCCAGACTACCACCAAGACAGAGACCAAAACACAGGCGCAGAAGTGGATTCTGACCAGTTCTCTGTACATGGGCTAACTTCCTCCTGAACTGCAGAGTCGTTTGGAAAACTGGAATGATAACAGTATCTGCCTCCAAGACAGGCTGACAGGATTAAATAAGAAAATCTATTTGAAAGAATTAGCATAGTGCTTGGCACAAAATGATTATGCAAATGTCAGCAATTATTATTGTTATTCCACATACTCTAACAATCTTTGAGAGTGTAAGGGGCTTTAAGATGGATAATGAATTGTGTATTGTAGAGTAAGAACAGGATTCTAATTTATGTGGTTTCACAGTGGCCGGCTCTAATGTGTCTCATTGGCGGGGTAATGTGAACTTTTGACCTGTCAACAAACATTCACTCACTTGAAAGTGTTAGGTCCTGCACATGGTCTTGTGTTAAACCAGAATCTTTCTTGACTTTGTTCTTCACAGCTTTGCTAGGGAGATAGAAACATCAAGGCATAGGACATATGTAATATAATATTATAAGAATATGTTACAATTGAAGCAAAAGTCTTCTTGAAATGAACAAGAATAAGTCAAAGACATGAGAACTTTCCTTATCTGTGGTCACTTAATCCTCCAAATGATGTCTTGGGACACCTAAAGCCGAGGTTTCTCTCCCCTTGCATTTTATGTATAAAAAGATGGAGACTCATCCGGATAGCCCATGCCTTTGTTTGCAGCAGTTAACAGTAGAGCTGAGACTGTATCCCAGTCTGCCACCTTCCCCAGGGCACCGTCTCAGCAGCATCAGGAGGAATCGGGACCACTGGTGGCTTTCCCGGTCCGAAAACTTTCCTCTTCATGAGCACTTTCTTCATACCTGGATTAGAATCCAACTCTTGAATATCCCAAAGCACAAAAATGCAGAAGGTTTTATATTCATTTCTTGAGTTAGTGACATGGTCATTTTAACCCTTTTCTGTCTTCTACAAATGAAGCACCATGGGTTGGAGGAAGAAGCACTGAGAAGAGAGATCAAAGGCCAGCACACAGGTCTCAGCAGTACAGCGTCTCTCTCGCATCCCACAGCCTCTGATGTCTCAGTTGCCCTGATTAACAAGCTTGGTTCTGCATTCCCTGCCCACCTCTGCCTTATAAAAATGGTATGCGGGTGAACTGAAAGCATTGATCTGAGGAAAAGTGCAATGGAAACTATTATCAAATTGTACTGCCGCAGCCTGTGAATCAGAGCTGGAGCATCGCTGGGGCAGCCCATTCCCTATTCCATCATGACCTCACCAAAC